TCTGAATATCGGAATATATATATATGCGAATTAATTTAGCTTACGCTACTTGCGGGAGCGTCTCTAACTCTACAGCACCTCCTACCTGCCGTGCCAAAACGATTCGCGATTGAGTTGATGCATCGAGCCGCGTATCTATCGATCGAGCGAACGGAAAAATATCAATTTTCCCCACTCTTACTCGCGAACAATCGCGAATCGATTTTTAATCGGCACTCCTCGCTGCGTGAATTCACTCTTATTTCTTTTTTTTTTTTTTCTTTTTTCTTTCTTTTCCTCCTGCTTTCTTTTCGCTTTTCTCGCTCGTTCGTTTGGTTATCTGCTTACCGTACTGCTTCGTGCGAACCGGATACGGTATCGTCGTAGCTCCTTCTCCCCGTTGACTCCGGGCGGCCAGCCAAACGTAATACAGGGTGTTCGGATAGAGGCCCGTCAACGTGTAGTTCTCGGTAACCGGTATCCTGCGATGATGCTTCTCCTGAAATCGATCGCGATCCCGACGATCGTTCGCAACGACGGACGCGTATATTAAGCGTGATTGCAATCTTTTGGGAAAGAGAGAGAGAGAGAGAGAGAGAGAGAGAGAGAGAGAGGAAAAGGAGANGGGGAAAAAAACAAAAAAAAAGAAGAGAAAAGAAAGGAGCGTTCACCCACCTGAGCGTAAGTATCGTTCCAATACAATTCATAGCTGAGAATATTTTCCGCGCTATGAATAGGTTTATTCCACTGGAGGGTTACCGTGGTCTCCCCGATATCTATCGCGGTCAACATCTCCGGTTGGCTCGGTACCCCTTGTTGCGTCTTAATCTGGACAGGTGTGCTCAATGGACCGGGACCGACGCTGGTCAACGCCTGCACTCGTATCGTGTATATGGTGTGGGTGTCCAGATCCGAGATGGTGGTCAGTTGATTGTTGTCCACCATCTGGTACTTCCAGGAGGCCATCGGTTGATTCGGATCCGTCGTGTAATATATCTTGTAACCCTGCGTAAGCGAAGAAGAAGAGAAAGAGGATTTTTGGAATCGGATTAAGGGACGAAGAGGGCGTTCGTTGCGAACGAAAACTAACCGTCACTTGTCCGTTCGGTGTCTCTGGCTCGACCCATTGTATGACCATCGTGCTCGAGCTCAATGGCCGGGCCTGAACCTTCCGCGGTGCGGTACCCGGTTCTAGAAACGAACGAATTATCTTTGGATTTTTTCCTCGGAATCGGAGCGTGCTTTTCTACATGGACGAGTCAATCAATAGTTAGTCACCGGAGAGTTGTAAGTAGTACACCCTTCGAGAGAGAAATACACCGTAATAAAGAACCGAAGGAAAAAAGAAAAACGAAAAATAAAAAATTCCAGGTATATAAAAAAGAAAAGAAATAGTGAGAAAAAGAGAAAAAGAAAAAAAATATCAAATTATCCTCTACGATTACATTCGGGATTATATCGTGATTAAATTGTGCAATTTACCGAAAAGAATAAAATTCAACGAGAAGAATAAGGAAACAGCGTGTGTATCTTGATTGATTAGCTCGTTTCGATAGGTGTGCAAAACGGAGTAACGTACATGTGCGTGTGCTTCGAATGAACAAAAACACAAAGAATTGGGGGCGAAAGAGAGAGAAAGAGAGAGAAACAAAAATAAGAAAAAAATTAAAAATCAAAACGAAAGAGCATAAAACGAAAAATACATATATATATATATATATATATATATATATATATAGAGAGAGAGAGAGAGAGAAATAGAAAAGAAGAAGAAAAAAAACATGAAAAATGAGAATAGAAAATACGTTTGCTACAACACTCTTAGTATTGATGATTGAACTTACTGGCACCTCCATTTGTCGATTCCGCTATTGAAAAAAAGGATGAACGATTATTTTCGATGATCATTACGTGAATTAAATGGTATATAATGCACGGTGAAAATACGAATCGTATATTTTCGCATTTTCGTATTTTCACGAGGTGCGAAGAGAGTGCGGCTACTTTTATCGAGGAAAGGTGCAATTTCGCGTGCTTTCGTCTCCCCGCGTATCGGTTTCGCTCTTTCGCTCAGGAAAGAGACGGAGAGACTCGAAGGGGGGCGATGACGATGG